CATGCAGTGTATTACAGCACTCTGGCGAAGGAGTCTTGGGTATTAACAAAAGCTTTGTGTTATCACTGATAATAGCAGCAGAGTGAGAAAAGAGGAAAGATAGTAGACAAAAACACTATACTTGAATGCCAAGTATGGCTGTGCAGTTGTGATCATTCAGAACTGAAACTTCTGTAACTTCAATGCTACCCTTCAGAAGGAAAAAGTTTGCAATTGCTGCAGTTTTTAGGCAAAAGGCATTGAGGTGTAGGATTTCTGATCCTTGGGGCACTGAGATTAAATCTGAGTGCAAGCATAATCTTTAACAGCAATCCCACCAACCACTCAGCATCCCAACCCTAGTCTCAGCACACAGAGTCATCTGTGTGTAGAAGCAGAGGGGCCACTGGCTGGGATCTGCAAGGGATGGTCAGGCAGCTCTCTGCAGTGCAGGTCAGGGCAATATGGAACAAGCACAACCCTCAGTAACATGAGATGATGAGAAGTTCCTGCAGCTGAGAGGATATCTTTCAGCATTGCTCTAGTGCACGTGAGCCCCTGGGGAGGGGGCAGCAGCTTCCTCCTTAAGCCTTTAGCTGCCAGTGAGCTACTCTGTAGTTCACTTGCCCCAAAACCCAAGGAAGGAATGATTGCATCACATCAAGCACATCATGCCCAATTGCATTCAGCAAAGATGATGAGACCTGGTCTTATATACACAAAGACCAGGTATGTAAGTATGTAAGGATCTGATCAGAGAAATAAGAGACATTTTAGATAGGCATTATTCCTGCTTTTGTTTGTTCCCTTTCATTTTGAGCGTTGCTGGTACTTGTGCATTGCACACACATAAAAAGCCCCACAAAACAATAACAACAAAGAAAAATAATACAAAAGACATTCAGATTAGTTGACTGTTATCACTGTAATCTTCAGCTATCCCACTGCTAGCAGCAGACACATGCTTAGGAACCATAACATGTTTGATAAATAAATTACTATCATAAGCAAAAAAAAAGCAGTCTTCACCCAAGTGATAGCTCATCTTAACCTGCTGCTGTCTGCTGTGGGATTCTAAGTTTTGTTGGATACCATTAACAAGCCTTTGGATTATAGGAAGAGAGGATAGGAGCAGAAGGCTGTTGAGTTTCAGAAACCTGTTCCAGACTGCATCCATTAAGGCCCTAAGACAGAAGACAAAAGTGGCTATTGCTCATGAACACATTCTAAACACTTTGATTTTTTGAAACGACTTACTTTGCAATCATTATCTTGGCTCTGGTCCTCTCTCATTTAACCTCATCTGCCTGACTTTATATTCATGGAACGGATTTGTACTGCCTTGGATTCCATGCAGTTGGCTGCCGAAATATTCTTGGACTTAAAAAATAAAAATAAAAAAGAAAGCATTTGATACCATTAATCATATTGCCATATGTAATAAATTGGCTGCCTGTGGTACGTTGCCTCCAAGTGTCACATGGTTCCAATCACAACTCTGCCAACTGAAAGTGGTTGCTGGAAACTCTGACTCTTCCTCTCAGGCGCTCCTACGCGGGGTCCCGTCCCGCTTGTACTGTACATTAATGACCTGCTGGCTGCCTGGCGGCACCCAGGCCAAGAGTTACAACTATGCACATGTTTGCAAGTGCTGCTGTACATAAGCAATAACCTGCTTGATATCAAAGTCACATAATTACCAAGTCAGCTTTTTTGACAGCATTTGCAAGGTTCGAAGCCTAATTCAGTACATCTCTAATTTGCAGCTTAACTATCTGCCAGAATGAAAGGTAGAAAAGCAGGGGGAAAAGTATTAAATTTAGCTGCATAAAATAATTCAGGGAACAAGAGCACTGCTCTTACTATTCAGCTTTTGTGACTGTCAGGGCTCTTGTCAAGTCACAGCTGGAATTCTGCAGATTTATAAGAACAATAGAATTATTCGGAGGAGAAGGTGGGGAGAAAGGAATAACATGCTATTTGCAGCACTTCAGCTAACACTTTGACACAGATTCTTTGGGTCTTTTTAAGTAGGTGTGGACATTGACTTAAGTAAATAAATAGAAAGCCCTTTTGATCCTTTACCAAAGTTGTCCTTGAATCTTTTCTCAGAGCAGCAAAAATAATCTATTGACTTTAGAACAGGGCCCAGAAAAACAGTATTGGTTTTGACCATCATGAAGTGTCTCTATGCATGGAAGTTGGATGTAGTGAAAGAAAATGAGGCTACTGTAATGAAATAATTGATGACAATTTGCATTGTATTAGAGCCCTAGTTATGGAGCAGGGCCCCTCTGCATTAATTACAGTGAAAAGGCAGAACAAAGCTCCTGTGTTCACATCTCCATCTGGTCTCTAACCTTCTGGATTCAGTTCTTCTCTCTCAAATCTTTTTACTACTTCCTACCCTTAGTTGAAGAAAATACACATATAATGCTGCAGATGTAGGAAGGGAGTAAAAGAACACAACGGGGACATCATTCTCACAGGCTCTTGATCTGACCAGGGAAAGTAAACCCTGTAAGACTACAGAGAGAAATGAAAATAATACTTGCAGAGGGCCAGCAGCCTTCTTCGTTCTCCAGATACTCGAAGCATAAACAAAGGACAGGTGCCAGTATGACTGCAGATGCAGTAACATCAGAGTTAGCATACACTACTAGCAAGGGCTGATGCATTCATATACTGAGTGCTAGACTACACTGTACTACTTTGACTTATCTCATTATTCATCCTGGCTAGATTAATACATGCATCATTCTTGCCATTTTGTCGTTGTGCACATATAATGCAGAGGAGACGTTACCTACACTGGAAGACAACAGTGAACTAAAGCTCAGCAGCATGAGAAACTTTTGTCTTGTGATATCTGCTGTTCCATCACTGGACTTTAGTCCTCATGTCCTTGACTGTGACCATGGTGGGTTTTATAAAGAAGAAACTATAAAGTGAGATTTAAAACTGAGGGCCAAACTAGAAAGGAGCACAGGAATTCATGTTCGCAAACAAATATTAATGACCCGTGTCTACTTTCTTCAAGAGAAAGATGAGATTCTTTCCCTGATTTTTCCTCAGTTTTGTTTGATCTATTTTTCTTAGACGACATTTCAAGTTAATACCTCACAGGCTTTTCTTTCCCAGGAAGTTTCTCTGAAAGAATTTTTTCCTCAAAGGTCTTGATCTTTCAGGCCTTTACGCCTGTGTTTAACTCAACATGTGATAAAAATCCCAGTTGTAGGATCATTTGTGAGAAGAGACAAGCGTGCACAAAAATGCTTACAGGATCTCAGATACACAAGGAAAAACTGTATAGTTGTCAAGTTGAAAATGCACGTTACTGAATCACGCTGTCAGGAAGCTGACACCTCTACAATGCCTGGTATCTTACTACCCACTGGTGACATTTCTGACTTTTTTTTTTTTTTTTTTTTAAGTTTCATGAGCCTCTCTCACAAACAGAAGCTCTTGAAAGAAGACTATGTGAAACCATGCCAGCTGACTTCATGAACATATCACTTTCCGAAACGTATATAATCAAAGGCAAATTTATAGATGAAAACATAGATACCTTACAGTATTTTAACTATAACAACCAGACAACAAAGTTATTTCTGCACTGTACCCTGTTGTACCTTTATAGGGCAAGCTTGTCAGATGAACTGAGCTATACATGTTTACAATATTGTTTTGCTGTAATTTATAGCAGACAGAAGATAACATTAACTTCAAATGAGAAAGAGCTTCCATTTTTTAAGTCTAGACTCATAGGCCTGATGGGATTTGGGTGCACGAGCTCTGAGTATTGCTGGAAACCCCTAATTTACGAAGAAATGCAACTGGTATGTCAGGTTTTATTCATTTTTCTTTGCCTGCTAAATACCTTACTAGCAGGTATGCACAAAGTCTCACTCTAGCTCAGTGAGTAGCCTTTGAAAAAATAAAGAAAAAAATAGTGAAAAACAGCTTTTAAAACTGCACAAGTATCACTCAAAAGGAATGAGTCTTAATTGGGAAGGTCTGGTGTAAGAGGAAAAGCACTATTCCTACTTTCACCATTCTCAAGAACAAACAGGTAGGATTAGCATTGTTTGGGTTGTTTGTTTTCACAGACCTCTTGAGAAGAAGCTTTAATTTACAGACTCCGCAAGATCTGACTAATGCAGCAGCCCGTTCTCAATTTGGGTATACGTGTGAATTATAGCAGAAGCTGCTTGATGCACTCCAGTGAAACTTCACGCTGGTCATAACATCCCTCACAGTCTCTGTTTTGCACTGAGGACATTGACTCAGCAAATAAGTTTAAAGATATGCTTAATTTTAAGCTCATGGGCAGGTTCAGAGAAGTCAACAAACCTTCCCTAGAAGTTAAGCATTTTGGTTTATTTATTATATTGGATTAAGACAAGTGTCTGCAATGCCTTTGTAATGCAGGCTGATTCTGTGCAACAGCACCTGGAAGAGTAAGGCAGCCTGCGTGGTCCTGTGTGATCAACAGGACAGACAGCCACCACCACTGTATTCCTCCCTTATTTCCAAAGGAAAAGAGGCACACTTTTGATGCAGTTCAACTGTGCAAGAAGCACTACAGAGTAAGTACATAACATCATTAAGTGGATCAGTATAATAAAAGCTACAACCACTCCTCTCCCTCCCCTCCTCCTCCCCCAGGAAAAAAGAGAGTTCTTCATGAGGTAGAAAGGAAGGAAAAAAGAAAGCAGCACCAAAAAATTTATGATTATTTATAATTTTTCTACTATATCAGGTCTATTCCTTGTAAAGAGTGCTATCCTTGAGACGTCACAGAACTTTGCCAATGGGATGCATTTTCAGATTAACATGAAGGCTTTCCAGTCAGGTTTTCAGTAATGACACACTGTAGTTATAGAGCTTGGTCTAGTATTATCTGTAAAATTCACCTACTGACTAAACAGGAAACAGAGAAATCTAGATCTTGAGTTGCTTTCAACTACATATTCTTTCAAACAAACAGAAGAGAAAAATTCAATATATTTAGATCAAAATAAATTTTTAAAAAACATGTTTATTTCACATGATCAATTAACCCCAACTGGAGAAGGTTGGGCTTTTCACCCCTTGTTTATCATAGGATGTATCCTAGCTATCTCATACTGCCTTACAGAGCTGTTTACGTATATATGAACAACCAAATATATGCAGTGAATTATAATTTTTAGATCAAGAAAAACACAAAACAAACAGTAAACCCTCTAGGCTTCTATAGAAGAAATTAAAGCACTTACTGAAAGGAAATAGTGGCATATACGAGGGCTTTGAATTTCAAATATCCTTCAAGAAGTTATTAAAAAAGAGACTATACTACTGAGAAAGAGACAAAATATGACGATATTTCTTGGTATATCCATTACAGTTGCAAAAGAAATAGTCATTATATTAGCTTAGACTCAGTCATATTTCCATTTTTAACACCTTATGATTATTACAGGATTCTAAACTCCCAAAGAAGGCAACTCATATGAAGGATTTATTTTCACTCCAGTTTTGTCTTTCCTTACTGCCTGTCAATCTAAGAAAGATGTGCTGGGCTTCACCCCATTTGAACCTTCATGGCTTTAATGCAGACTTCAGCCTGCATTTCTATAAACTGTGTACATGAAGATCGGCATTCATATCTCAAAAAAAATCTGTATCTTAAATTCTAAACAGATGTGCTGAAACTCAGAGCCTTTTAAGACATCTTTCTACTAGCAAGTCAAAATTCAAAGCAGAGCATTTCCTTCGCATGTTTAAGGGAACTAGTGAAAACTCTTCTGCCAAGCTCCTGGGAGCATCACTGCTGACAACACCTGCCTGGGAGCTGGCTGTCCCCAAATCATCATGGTCTTCATCCCTTGATAAAAGTTCCTCTCTTAACATGGATCTCAGGCTATCTTCCTCAGCTTGGAGATTGGCTTTTATCAGATGTCTTCTAGGACCATGATCTGCTGAGCAGGCCAGTCCAGTACAGTCTTTGACCCAACACGGTACAGGTTCAAGACGAATCCAAGGGCTGGCAGACCTAGCCAGTGTTTTCACAGTTGTTCCACAGTTTCTCGGCACAGGAATACTAGACAGCCCCAGAGCTTCTTCACCAGTGGAGTGCACACTGATAGCTGGGGGACGACTCATAAATTTGTAAACTATGGAGAAAGAAACAGCAATAGACAATTCTAAACATCCAAAAAAAAAAATCAAGGATGAGTTTGAGTCTAAATGTGCCCTGCAACTCTCCATCATTAAATACTTTAAGTCTCCGTTTCTAGTCCAAGCCTTTGAAAAGGTATATTGGTTACTTTGAGAATAATATGATTTGTCCAAGTTCACAAATTTATACATTAAAGGAACTAGAAATTGCATTGTACTCTATTTCAACAGCCTCTACTCTTGTGAAAACAACTCTTATTTTTTTCCTAGGAAATGCAGAAAAATCCATGCTCCAGAAAACAGGGCCCAGATTTAAACCCAGGGAATCAGGATCATTAAACTTTACTTGCATTGTTTGAGAGAACATGTTATCCTCTCACTATACAGATAGTATTTCTACTTCTGCAGCTGAACAACTCCACTCATAGCACAGGGAACCCACACTTATGCTATATTAAGTGCTTTAACTCAGGATCATACACATCTTAAAGGAAAGATAACTATACTGAAAAATCTAAAAACATATCTGTCTGTTTACAACATGAAAAATTCTTTTTATTTTCTGTTGTTTAAGCAAAATAAAAATTGAGACCAAGTAATACAAGCATTTTGTGCACATCAGAAAGTGGTAGCACTTAATAACAGCCAGACAGCCACCGGAGTACCACCTGAAGACCTTGTACCTTTCTGAAGCCTTAATTCACTTTAATTATATATGCATCTATGGGCAGGACACACACCAAATTATTTCACAGAACCACAGAATTGCAGGGGCTGGAAGAAACCTCCAGTGATCACTGAGTCCAACCCCACTGCAAATCAGACTCCCTACAGCACAGGTAGGCATCCAGGCAGGTCTTGAATATCTCCAGAGAGGAGAATCCACAGCCTCCCTGGGCAGGGAGTGCTCCGTGGTTTCAGTAGCACTCATATGCAGTTGAAGTCACATTAGAATTATTTCCCCCTACAAACATCCTCTTCTTGCTGATTACCTTGCAAAACCCTAGTTTCTTCTCCCTCTGGCCGTGCTGAATGCAGCTGCTTGCATTTTCTTCTCCGAAATCTAGTTTGCCGTGGTCTAGCACCCTGTCGGCCCTGGTTTCCTGCTGCATCATTCTCCTCCACAGGGACATGGGAATGCCCTAAGTTGTCTTGATGTGCCATTGTGGTGTGCTCCACCTAAAGCTAACAGCAAAGTTGCACTGAAAACACAGAACTAGCCAGGAACTCTAAGAAGACAATGGGAAAGAGACTTCAAGAGCCTCAAAAGCCAGATTTATTTCATATCTGGCAAGATAAAATAAGCCAAAATAGTAAACCAGTGCCAAAAGCCCTTTCCAAATGCAACAGCAGCTTACCTTGCCCTCTAGCCTTAACTTTTTATAAAAGAGCCTTCTTTTCTTATCCTTAGACAGAAACAAAAAGATAACCCCACTGACTTAGAGAGATAGAGGGGACTGGGACTAGAAGAAGGAAAAGGACCATCAGAGGAGGAGCTAGCACAGCATCTGATCATTTGTAATTAGCACAGCCTTACAGCTTTTCTAGCTTAGTGAGATGAGGATAGCTTACAAAAGCTGTGTGTGATAATTGTGTCTTGTAGGAATACTGGGTGAAAAAGTTTCTTTGGTCCTCAAAGAAGCAGAGGAGAAGGGTGAATGTTTTTTTCCTGCTTGGAGCAGGAATAATGGAAGACAAAATAAATAATTCTTATTTCCTAGTAATATGTAAATATTTTCTATTGTACTGTTTTTTAAGGTTTTCCTCTCAGTTTTTTATCATTCTGTGTGTCTGCTGCAACTACTACCTGAGTAGTTACTCCTTTTCTAGCAGCACTATTACCTAGATTTTTGTCTGTTTTTCTGTTGTATTAGAGCCTTGTACAGCCTCTCTTAAATCCAACTAGGCAGTAGATTTTCCACTAGTTTGAATGTTTCTTAAGCTTCTTCTAGCACTTAGTGAATTCCTCTACTGTGTTTTACAACCCTCTGAGGGCTGTGACATGTAACTAGAAGAAAAAAAGAAAAGGTCTTACAAAAAGAAGCAAAGGATTTTTGTACTGTCTTCTATGTCCTATGTACAAAGGGAAAAAGCAGTTCTGGAAGAAAGAAATAAATTAGGCTGATCTGATTTTTTTTTTTTTTTTAGATGTGTTTGAAAATTGCTAGCTTTTATGAACAGCAACTTGTTTGCATGAGGACCCATAGTCTATTATATCATCCCAAACATACGTGCATGGATGTGTTTTCTAAAAGTATTGAAACCCTGATGAGCTTCTAGCCAGTTACTGGCCATCTTGATATTTGTGATTATGATCAACAACTTGAAGAAAAACAATGTTAAACCCTAGGTTAGAAATGTAACTGCACTGGTAAATATTGTGTTTTCTGCTTGTTGTGTTTCAGAAGAAGCAAATTGAATGCAGACTTACTAAATGACTTGCACCAGACTACAGCAAGCTTGCTCAATTTCTGGCTTCTGCTATGTACGTGTTCAGCAATAAAATGCTTCTTTCCCTCCCCAGTCTGTCAAAGGCAGGGGCATTGTATCATGACTTACCACTGGGGAAAGTGGGGGTGAGCAAGGAATAGCAGCCACGAATTGAGGTGGGCGAATACTAGATGATCCAGTTCATATGACCTAATAGACTGTGTCACTGCCTTTGGGAGACACAAGCCTCTTGACACATGCCCTTGGCTAGAAGGTCAGAACAGAAAAGCCCAAGCTCAGAAAATGAAGCCCTCTAGCTGAGAAAAATTATCCAACCATGAATTGGCAAAAGCACTTTTTTTCCTCCCCACCTTCTTTTTTTATTCCCAAATTTTCTGACTTGACATGTTGCTGTAGTGCACTTCACATTTGATTAAATTAGTCACATTGCATTATGCTGTATCAAATGTGACAAGTTGCAATGGAATGTGAGCGTTGTATAAAGATGCACAGGCATCAAATAGCTGCTACCTGCTTCTGACTAGCATCGATGTGTTAGCAGCAGGTAAGGGAGGCACACAAGGTCCAAATCCTTCCTTGTTATTAAATCACTCTTCTGCAGCTCATCACTAGGTTTTCTGTGGTTAATAACTATGCATCAAATGAGTAATCAGTTACTCTTACACCAAGAAACTCTTAATTCTTTCTTCTGCATTTCCCCCATGCTTGCTTGTGATAATAAAGGAGGAAGAGGTATCTGGTCAGGATTCAGCCTGTCTCTTACAAGCACACTAGCTACTGTAACTGAAACAGTATTAGCAAGATGCTGAATGTATAAATAATTACAGCCCACAGAGAACAAGGCAGAGGCACCCTGTTATTGCTTATGTAAATGCAGTCACTATTAGTCGTGGGCTAAAGGAATTACACCATCAGGAAACCCTAAGCTCGTGTTCACTGACTCAGCATCCCCTGTAAATCAGAACAGCTCTCATTGGGTTCTGCAAGGAGTTAAAGTCACAACATGTCCATAGAGCATGAAGAAACTGTTAATGTCACTCTTCACCTTTCTTGGGGTAAATGCACGCTCCCATGCATGGCGAAGTAGACAAATGGATTAGAGAAAGCTCAATTTGATTTAATCTGGACTGTACTTGTCCTTGGATTTGTTATCCACTGTCAATTTGATGTTTTATCTGGAATTCTTGTAGGACCTTTTGAGAAAGGTAAAAACAGCTCTATGAAGAGGGCTGGTTGAACTATTTACCTGTTCAACAGCCCCTAGCTCATCACTGTTCTTCTTCCATGTTCTCCAGATGTCAGTAACAGTGCCTAATATAGAGCAAACGATTGAGTCTTCCTCTGAAAATATTGCCTAAGCAGTTAGTAAAGCTTTATGGTTGAGTAATCCACACTAAAAGAACAGGAATAGGATGTACAGAGGAGGGAAGAACATCAGTATTATTGTCTCTACACATAACCTGGACTAGAAGTTAAGAACAGTCAAATCAATTACAATAAACCTTCTGATATCCTCCTGGCTACATGGCTTGTTCTATGCAACGTGGGGTTTTTTGTATATTATACATGAAATATATCTGATAAACTATGGAGACTTCTCTTTGTCTTAATCATTTGAAGATGTAACTTTTTCTGCCATGTTTACAAATGACAAATATTTTCTCTCAAGCAGTACTGTGTTTGTCTTACAGTCCTGGAAGTCCCTGGCTCCAGAGTTCTGGGGAGCCATAGTGTAGCAGAAAGCTCTCCCTACTTGGACAAGTTTGCAATGAAAGGATTTTAACTAAATGGATGCAATGGGAACTCAAGACTAGGAAGCTGAAGTATGTTAGTATAGCTGGAAGTGTCCAAGATCTCACTGTCAGTGAGTATGATCACAATGCACATGCTTTCTACCTTGTGTTTCTTCAGAAAGTCATGTCTTCTTGTTTTTTTTTTTCTCACATCGTTCCTCTTTCTTGTCCTGAGAAGAGAATGGACTGTCTTTGATAGCATTTGTGATGTGTGTCTTACAATGGAAGCCCAATAGCCTAGGGTTTCTGGGCACTACATTGTCAAACAAGTACACAGTTACAATACAGTTGTGAGAAGAGTGGTATGCAAGCTTTAGTAATGAAAATTATATTCAAATCTCTTAGCCACAACTTATTTTTTTCTGTTTTTTAGAATCTGTCATATCCAAAAACATTCAATCCAAACAAGAATTTAAAAGCATATTCTGAATGTCTTGTGATATTGTTCAGAATTCCTTTTCTCCAAATTTCTAGCATTAATTTAAGCCAGATATCCACGGTAAGTGAAAAAAAAAAAAAAAAAAAAGTAATGATGCTTAATAACAAATTGTTGAACCATTTAAAACTCTGAGTTTATTTCAGGAGCATGGCTGTCCAGCTAAGAAGTCCTACAGACCACACATAGGAAAAGTAGCAATCAGTCTTCAAAGAGTTGAGCCCAGTAAGCAATTCTAGATCTGGACTTGGCTGTGTCTCACATAGGATATGTTTGTCTTTACTTCTTCCCACACTCTGCAATTGTCTAGTTTTGAATCACTTCCAGTGTGAGATCCAGAAAAGCAAAACTAGTCCCATTCATAGTTTGCCCTGGCTTCCCTTTTCTGTCTATCATTTCTTCTTCTTCAAATTCATACATATTTAACAGGTGAAATGAATAGCAAAGGTCTACTCTGTTGTAATTAATGCACATATGTAAAATCAGTGCCTGCATTGCTGACCTTTCCATTTGTCTAAACTTGGCTGAGTATAAAAGCCATTTTACAATTTTCCATTGGTAATGATGTGTTTATGACTGTACTGGACTGTAGCACCTTCTACTTTCTGATGGATAAATGAAGTAAGGAGGATGGTGATGGCCAAAGCAGCTCTGGATCTAAGCTAACCGAGGGCAGTACATCTACAGAGGTTTGACTCTTTTCCACAACAGCTAAGTTGTGCCTTCAGCACTCCCTGGATTCAGCTGCTCAAGCAGTCCCTATTCTGGACTCTGGAAACTCAAAAAAATACATCAAATATTTGGCTGTATGCTTGCACCTGCAGTATGCCTGGTGGGGAGAAAAGGGCTGATGTTTGAAGCAGATTGAGGAGGATATGTCCCTGGAAAGGCAGCTTTGGAGAAGATTTGTTACACAAAAATCTTTCGGTTTTAGAAAACATTGTCATCAGCTCCCTGTGAAGAGCAAGATCCATCTTAAGGCTGCTGAAAAGGAGCAATCTGGAGCTGCAAAGCACTGCTGCTGTAACTTGCTGTCCAGCTTAGACATGAACTTCCTCTAAACCATGCAGAGCTTGCACTGAAGTTCTGAACAGTACAAAACGCATCACAAGATGGAGAGCGTATCTCAGGTTGGTTCTGAACTAGAAACACTATTGCCTTCCCCGAATCTGTGGATGAACTTACAGCATCATCAGGATGGACTAACTCCCTACTTACCCCCTTACCTGCTTACCCTTTTCCTATGTACATCCATGCATGGAATTAGTCCAGCTGGACTTTGGCTAGTTTTGACTGCAAAGGAACCTGGTATTTGAGTAGCAGCAGTCAAAGCTGGTTTGGAGTTGTTGTAATGTACACCAAACTCCATGCTGACTCCAGTCCAGGTCAAAATCTGTGAGGAGGACATCTGAGATACAGCCTCTATTATTCTCCTTCTTGATGAGACACATCCGTACTCACTGGCCAGGCAGCAAAGATGAGGGAATCTGATGCTGCACTAGCAGCAAAACTTGGATTTTAAATGCCATTCAGCCATTTGATTTGCCAAGAGACCAGTATGTGTATCTCAGCACTGGGGAAAACGGAGGGATTACAACACAAAGCTAAAATTGCCAGAGTGGAAAGTTGTGATATTCCTCTTCTTCTTCACCCACTTGATGTAGTATGATAAGGAAGGCGCTCCCCAAATGTTTCCAGAAACACTCTCACCAAACCTGAGACTGTTTGAGTGTTTTCAGGTACCAACAAACCTTCAGTGGCAGAGGTGTATCTGGGTGCACACACTAAGGAAAAGGTCCCACTGCCTTGGGAGGA